GCAGGACGGGGGTGTCACTGTGTCCCTGCTTGTCCCCTGCGTGTCCCCTCCCTGCTAACCCCACCCCAATGTCCCCACTGCCACCTCGATGTCCCCGTGCCACCCCTTATGTCCCTGTGCCATCCTCGATGTCCCCGTGCCACCCCAGCCTGTCCCTGTGCCACCCCTGATGTCCCTGTGCCACCCCTGATGTCCCTGTGCCACCCTCCATGTTCCCCGTGCCACCCCTAATGTCCCCATGCCACCCCTGATGTCCCTGTGCCACCCCAGCATGTCCCTGTGCCACCCCAGCCTGTCCCTGTGCCACCCCTGATGTCCCTGTGCCACCCTCGATGTCCCCGTGCCACCCCTAATGTCCCCATGCCACCCCTGATGTCCCCGTGCCACCCCAGCATGTCCCCTATGCTGTCCCCATGCCACCCTGCTTGTCCCCTTGCCACTCTCTGGTGTCCCTGTGCCATCTCGGGGTGTCCCCGTGCCACCTCAGATTGTCCCTGTGCCACTCTCTGGTGTCACTGTGCCACTCTCTGGTGTCCCTGTGCCATCTCGGGGTGCCCCCATGCCACTCTCTGGTGTCCCTGTGCCATCTCGGGGTGTCCCCGTGCCACTCTCTGGTGTCCCTGTGCCACTCTGTGGTGTCACTGTGCCACCCTGGGGTGTCCCTGTGCCACCTCAGATTGTCCCTGTGCCACTCTCTGGTGTGAGTGTGCCATCTCGGGGTGTCCCCGTGCCACTCTCTGGTGTCCCTGTGCCACCCTGGGGTGTCCCTGTGCCACCTCAGATTGTCCCTGTGCCACTCTGTGGTGTCACTGTGCCACTCTGGGGTGTCCCCATGCCACTCTCTGGTGTCCCCGTGCCACCTCAGATTGTCCCTGTGCCACCCTGTGGTGTCCCTGTCACATCAGGGTGTCCCTGTGCCACTCTCTGGTGTCCCTGTGCCACCTCAGATTGTCCCTGTGCCACTCTGCGATGTCCCTGTCATGTCAGGGTGTCCCTGTGCCACCCTGTGGTGTCCCTGTCACGTCAGGGTGTCCCCATGCCACTCTGTGGTGTCCCCGTGCCAGTCTCTGGTGTCACCGTGCCACCTCAGATTGTCCCCGTGCCACCCTGCGGTGTCCCCGTGCCGCCCGTGGCCCGCGGTGACCCCGCTGTCCCCGTGTCCCCCCCGTGTCCCCCCAGGGGAGAAGGTGATGTCGGACGATGAATTCACCCAGGACCTGTTCCGGCTGCTGCAGCTGCTCTGCGAGGGCCACAACAACGGTGGGGACACCTGGGGACACCTGGGGACACCTGGGGACACCTGGAGACACCTGGGGACACGGGGGGACACCTGGGGACACCTGG